TAATCTTCTCTCCTCATGAGGACACCAGTCACATTGGGTTAGGACCCACCCTAATAACCTCATTTGATTTAATCAGCTCTTTAGAGATGCTATCTCCACATCAGTCACATTCCGAGGTCCTGAAGTAAGAACTTCAACAAATGGATTTGGAGGAGACATAACTCAGCCCCTAAGAGTTACCTTATATGGCCAGATGTGGTGGCTCATGCCTGTAATCACAGCACTCTGGGAGGCCCAGGAGAGTGGATCACCTGAGTTCATGAGTTCTAGTCCAGCCTGAGCTAGAGAGAGACTCCGCCTCTAAAATTAGCGGGGCATTGTGGCAGGTACCTGTAATCTCAGCTACTGGGGAAGCTGAGGCAAGAGAATTGCTTGAGCCCAGAAGTCTGAGGTTGTTGTGAGCTATGATGCCACAGCACTCTACCAGGGTGACAAAGTGAGACTCTGTCTCAAAAAAACAAAAAAGAGTTACCTTATATGGGAAAAGGGTCTTTGTAGATTTGATTCAAGGTCATGAGATAGGGAGATTATTCTGGTGGGCCATCAATGTTATCAAAGGTATCCTTACAAGAAGCTAGAATGACTGTATACCAACAAATTGAAAAACCCAGATAAAATAGATAAATTCCTACAAACATACAACCTACCAAGACTGAATCATAAAAGAAATAGAAAATCTGAACAGATTAATAAGGAAATTGAATCAGTGATAAAAATTCTCCCAACAAAGAAAAGCCCAGAACCAGATGGCTTCACTAGACAATTCTACCAAACATTTAAAGAATTAACACCAATCCTCCTGAAATTCTTCCAAAAAACTGAAGAGGAGGGAACACTTCCAAACTCATTCTAAGAATCCCAGTATTATCAACAGGCACAGTGGCTCACGCCTGTAATCCTAGCACTATAGGAGGCTAAGGTGTTAGATTGCTTGAGGTCACCAGTTCAAGACCAGCCCACATGAAACTGAGACCCCCATTTCTACTAAAAATAGAGAAACTGAGGCAAGAGGATTGCTCCAACGAGGTTGGAGGTTGGAGGTTGCTGTGAGCTATGATACCACCAGACACTACCCAGGGCGACAGCTTAAGACTTTGCCCCAAAAATAAAAATTAAAATTAAAAAAGCATCCAGCATTACCCTAATACACACCAAAACCAGGCAAAGACCCAAGAAAACTATCTTTTATGAACACTGATACAAAAGTCCTCAACAAAATACTAAAAACTCAAGTTCAATAGCATATTAAAATGATTATACGTTGAACTGTAAGGATGTTTCAACACACTCAAATCCATCAATCCAATAAAACATATTAACAGAATGAAAGACAAAAACCATATGATCATCGCAATTGACACAGAAAAAGAAATCTTTGACAAGGTCCAACATCCTTTGATGATAAAAACACTCAACAAATTAGGAATAGAAGCAAACTACCTCAATCTAATAAAGGCTATTATATGAAAAGCCCACAGGTAACATCATACTCCATGGGAAAAGGTAAAATCTTTTCCTGTAAGATTAGAAATAAGACAAGAATGCCCACTCTTAACACTTCTATTCGGGCTGGGGGTGGTGCACTCTGGGAGGCCGAGGAGGGCGGATTGCTTGAGCAGGAGTTTAAGACCAGCCTGAGCAAGTGCCAGACCTGTCTCCACTAAAAACAGAAAAACTAGCCAGATGTAGTGGCTGTAGTCCCAGCAACTTGGGAGACTGAGGCAAGATGATTGCTTGAGCCCAGTAGTTGAGGTTGCTGTGAGCTATGACACCATGCACTCTACCCAGGGCAACAGAGTAAGACTCTGTCTAAAAAAGAAACAAACAAATAAAAACACTTCTATGCAGCGTAGTATTGGAAATCCTGGTCAGAACAATTAGGCAAAAAAATAAATATATTATATCCAAATTGGAGTGGAAGAAATAAAATTATCTCTGTTCACAGATGTTAAGATTATGTGTGTAGGCGCAGCGCCTAT